GTCGCTGTGACATTTCAGGCCCTTTTTTCACGGTGTTAATTATAAAACGTAAATTTCGCAAGAAGTTTGTTGATCTACAAAAAAATGTCTCGAAGTAGTTTTGTAGGAGACGAAATTTGCTATCGAATATCGAATCACGAATAAATATGATAGACTATACCACCAAAAGAATAAAGAAAAGTATTAGGGCCTGCCAATTGCAGAAAATTTTTCGAGATTTATTCTTACCGTCATTTTCCCAGTTCTATTCGCCTCTTCTGTGTCTGCGAGCTCTCTCAATAATGGTTCTGTGATTTCTTTATTAGCACTAGCCAATTTTCTACAAATTAGAAAGAACATTTAGTTAGAAGAAAATTAAATGATATTTCTTTAAAAAGAAAGAGACTAACGGTGCCTGTATTCGTCGGGATAAGAGTAGAGCTTCGGCGGCGGCTTTTCTTGCGAGAAATTCTTCGCGCTTAATTACTTCATCACTACCTCTGTATCCCAATTCAACTAATTGTCGAGCAAGTTCTTCATCCTAAGAAGAGAAGACTGTAGTATATCGATTAGCTTCAGCTCAGAGATTATGAGCAATGAAGTGGTTAAACACAGTGGGCTACTCGACGTAGAGCAGGCGAAAATCTATGTTTTCTTATGCTTGATATCAATTTATTTTGCATAAATCACCATATCTCTACTGCTGCTTCAACGCGAATCGTAAAAATTCGAGACTGAAAGTAAAAACAAATTCTAATGAACTCCGTAGACGAATCTTTGCTGTAAAATATGAAAAAAAAAAGTTTGCAAAAAAAAAGAGTGATTTACATATCATTCGAGTCAGTTTTTGATGCTGGTTACAAATAGCGCCTCGGTTTTTGTGAAATCTGTTCCAGAAGTGCTGTTAATTGTAGAAACCCTCGAAAACGCTGAAATACTCAGCGATTTTAAAAAAAAACGCCGACTTCTCGTAGAAGCAAACGGCATCATAGGAGATGGACTACATCTCCTCTTGTTAACCTACTGTTTACGACTTATAATATTTTTCCTTGGCACCTGTCTTGGTCAGCAGGCCGATCGATTTGCTCAGTTTCAAATTATTAAAAACAGTCAGTACCTTGCACAGGCACAATCAAATCTGCTGCGTACCTTTTCTGGGTATTCAACGTCGACTCTTCTCAAATGTGGAAAACAGTGTCTTGGTACACCATCCTGTGAAACGGCTACGTATTTTGGTCTAAATCAAACCCGTTCGCTGTACAGTGAATCTGACGGAACTATTCAGAGTCTCGATGCTCAGATGCAATCAAGTGTATTGTTTATCGAAAGAAGATTCCCGCTAGCAGGTAAGTAGCAGGTTTGCGTTTGAACTCAATATTAGCTATGATTTTTCGAATAGGTTGAAAGTCAGTCCATTTTTATGGCGTAACAGATATTGAAAAGTTAAAAAAAAATATCTGAAAGTTTAATTTTAAAAGTTTTTAGCGTACTTCAGGCTTATAAAAGCAAAATATCTGAACGTATATTTATTGGCCTAGAGAAAATACACTAAAAACTACAAGTTATGTCAGTCACGTTTTCGTAATTCTTGCAATAAGTTTCTGTAAAGTGTTCTTGACACAAAAGCGTTTTTTGTGTTTAATACCGAGGAATTCAATCAAAAGCCCCAAAAGATGCGTTTGAAGTCATATATAGTTACCAGCAGACATGGAAGATGTTTTTGAACCTTGTTAAAAAGAAGACTCCCGTAATATTAAGAATGTGAACGTGGCGTCTTGTGCACATAACGCGCTGCTTTGATGCGGAAGTTTCGAAAACAAATTTTGAATCGACAGATCCAAGGACACGCTGGATGCAGGTTTCGACGCTGATTAACCATTTGCCGTTTGTATTTTTAAGAAACGGTATTTGATTTCGAAAAACGGGTATTGAACTTTTGAAAAACCGGATTTTCAGTTTTTTATCCAAGAAATTTTCTCAAAAATTTCCTTAAGAGATGGTTATGTAGAAAATTTAATTTGCCACAAAGTGGCTCATGTGCTTTTGAGTAGTATGGCCATGAAAAAATTGTCGAATTTTGTACAGTTTTGAACTTGTAGTACAGTTTTTTCCCTTCGATTACCAGATAGCGACCTGGAACTTCCGAAGGTCGCCTAAAAACACAAATATCTGTTTCATTTATGAACATTAGCCATATCCGATAACGCTTGCTACCCCAAACTAGTCTGTGAAAAAATTGTGTCATAGCGTCACGAAAATGTCACAGCGTCATAGCACTATAACTCCACTTTTCAACTGAGTAAAAGAGCTAAGGTCTTGATCTTTTCACCGTTCGATAGCAAATTTCGTCTCCTACAAAACTACTTCGAGACATTTTTTTGTAGATCAACAAACTTCTTGCGAAATTTACGTTTTATAATTAACACCGTGAAAAAAGGGCCTGAAATGTCACAGCGAC